GGAAAACGAAACAAAAGAAAGAGAGAGCCGCGGTAGTAATGTAACCCATAACTGCCAGAAAGCAGACCTCACTTCGAAACCAGAACATATATTGGTGGCCTGCTCATTTCTCACACGGATTTTGCTCAACGTCTCTCGAGATGTTGGGAGTCTGGGGACCCTTGCAGATACGCTGCTGGGGTCCTTCAGGCAATAGACCATTTAACAAGGAATATGTGGGCCTGATTTCTTTTTCTGTGCCCTTTGATTTTTTAGAAGGGAGGGGCACCATTGGCTACCTCAGCCAGCCCTTTCCGACTTTTTTTTTTTACCTTATTTATTGGGGTGCGCCGCATGACGTGCGTGCGCATGCTTGCACGTGCGCTATGCGCTGCACGTGCGGAGCTATCGCAGACGCGATGCGCCGCAGGTATGGGAAGGACTATGCAAGGAAAAATGAGCGGTAGCGAACTCCAGGAACCAAGCAGCATTATACACATGAAACCAGATAGTCGTGACCTCTATCCAAAAGCAGAATTGCAACACGAGTTTCACCAGATAAGAGCACAGCAAAAGCTCACAAGTGACAATCTTGGAATCGTCTCATCATCATCAACAAAGAACCAATGTCGACATCCTATCTGCCCAGACTACAAATGGCAGATCCTATCTAGCCTATATACAATGCCGCTGCTGACATCAACAGCTCCCCGAAGTACGAGCAGATCTCGGCCAATGCCGTTCGCCTCAAGCACCAGGTATGTCTCTCGCATCGCTCACAACCTCGATCCCCCACTCACAGATGTCACATGCACCCAAGGACCACCATGCGCCCCATCCAGCAAACTGCAGCGCAGCTCAGCTATGGCTGTCTGCTCATCCAGCTCGCCCGTGAGCGCGTGGGCTCTGGCCAGCGTATAGCGCAGCAGCGCTTGTGCAGCATGCAGCCAGTGCGCGAATGCCGAATGCAGGGGCAGGCCCTTACCTAAATGGAAGTGGCCTGGGTGCTACGTGCGCCGGATGCAGGGGCAGGCCCGTTCCTAAATGGAAGTGGCCTGCCTGCTACGCGCCCTGAATGCGGGGGCAGGCCCTTTCCTAAATGGAAGTGGCCTGCCTGCTACGCGCGGCCTGGCTGCACTGGGCCCCGGCCCAGAAGCTTCCGGTAGGCCCCGGCAGGCTGAGCCCCTGTCGAAACGAATCAGGCCCAGGGCCTGTGGCAGTTACCCGTGCCCAACTGCCCTCAGCCTGTGTTGGGTCCATGTTGCGTATCTCGCCCAGGGCCGGCCTCAGATGCATTTGATAAAAGCAGCCAGGGCCTGGGCGCTTTCAACCAAGTGGCGCTGCCTAACTGCCTGAATTTACTCCAGTTGCGTGGTGAACCCAAAAATAGACCAATTGGCCTTGGTCGGGCCTGCCTTCACTTAGGGCGGCCGACTGTACTGAAAATAGAGCCCAGTAGGGCTTATCGAGGCCTTGAGCCTCGCAACTAGGTCTCTGCGAAAAATGGATGACACTGAAAGGTGAATAGAAACTTATGAAGCAGAACGATACAGAGAAGATTAGCATGGCCCCTGTCTGTGGAAGGGCGCCGAAAATGGATGTGGCACTGGCCGTCGTGGAAAACAAACAAAAAAAAGGAATACGAACTTACAAAGCAATGCAGACACAGACAGATCAGAAGGATGCAAAAATAAAACTAAGAACAATGTCAAGTCCCAGCTGGTCCCCATGCCCAAGAAATGGCTTGGGGCCCGTAGTACACGAAGACGTAAGTTTGACTGAAAAATACTGAGTACGTTAACACACCACTCCAAACTCCAAATTATCTTTCTGAGAAGGATAATTAGCCCACAAATATGGATGAAAGCCCACCATCTTGTGTTCGTATTATATAAAGAAAGAGAAATTTTGAAAATTATTTCAAAAATATCATTTGGGTTGGTATCTCCAGCCTTGGCGTGCGACCTTGACCCCCCCAAAAACGTGGCTGAGCCCCCAGGCCCAGTGTGGCCTGGTCCCTGACGTGCCGCACAAATCCATTTGTGCTAAGTTTAGAGTCTTAGACTCTTTGGAGAGTACGCAGTCAGCTGTAGCAGGAAGGAAGCGAAGTACACGCAGGGGAGGCTTCACCCTCTGCTGTCTGACCCCTATATGTAGATGAAATAGTTGAAATTTGTAACTACTATTTAAATTTTGAATATTTTTGAAGGGAGGATTGCATCTGTACCCTGTTCAAAGATGGGAACCCCCTTTATACCCAGTCTCAGTGGCCAATTTGTGTCTATACGCGGGAAAATGGCCTTTGGAAATTATGTCCATGTGTGAGAGACTGAGGTGGGCCAAGGTTGGTACCACCAAGTTGCGGTTATACCCAACTACTGGAAAGCTCAAATTATGGACATACCTGGGCAAACTATGTGTGTACGAAGGAGGAGGAAAAAAAAAACATCATTGATGATTGGTCACTGCATAAATAACAACTAAGGTAATTGATGGTGAGATGTATGTGCCATGCATGTTAGAATATGGTGCTAGTAAGCAAGAAGCATTGCCCTTGGTGAAGCGCTCCTGACGATTCTCACTCCTGGGTGTCAATTTCACTTTCAATTATTTACAGAGGTGACCTGTTCCATAGGACTTGTCACGGTCATGAGATACCCCTTGTGACGGTCCCTCCTCCTCCTCCTCCTCCTCCTCTTCCTCCTCCCCCCCCTCCTCGTCTTCCTTCTTCTTCCTTCTTCCTTCTTCCTTTCTCCTTTCTTCTTCTTCTTTCTTCTTCCTTCCTTTTTCTTTCTTCTTCCTTCTTTCTTTTTCCTTTCTTTCTTCTCTTTCTTCTTTCTTCTTCTTTCTTCCTCCTCTCTTCCTTTTTCCTCTCTTCTTCCACCCTTCTTCCGTCCTTCTTCTTCTTCTTCTTCTTCTTCTTCTTCTTCTTCTCTTCTCTTCTCTTCTTTTCTCTTCTCTTCTCCTCTCCTCTCCTCTTCTCTTCTCTTCTCTTCTATCTTCTCTTCTCTTCTCTTCT